AGGGCTATGTCTTTTCATATTTGTATCCCCAGTGCCCAGAACCACACATGGCACATGGAGGCACATAATACATATTTGTTAATGAATGAATCAAAATTAATCAGTAAATAGTACAATATGGACTTAGAACCTAAGAAGAACATCCTCAATGTGGCCACAACAGTAAGTAAATAGGATTTAGGATAATTATAGCTCCTCAGAGGAATTCATCTGATTTGGCGATACCTGGGGCAGTGGGTCTGAAGATCCTCCAAGTTTTTGATCTAGATAATTGAACATGATCATATTATATGGGTGTTGTTTACTGGTGTTGTGGCATTCGTCAAATATCATCAAAGTAAAGACAGACAGTGATGGAATAGTTCCATTTTTAAGGTTGTTCACAAGAATCTGTGGAGTTAAAATGATGATGTCACTGTTCTCAACAATTTGTGCCACTGGCACATTCTCAGCTGTCGCTCCAGAAATGCCTGCAACTCTGTACCTAGGAAATGACAGAATTCCCTATTATCAGCCACAATGTAAATGAGCAACCACAGAGATAAAACACTAGATTAGAACATCAGTTGATTTAAGTTCTCGCTAAAGTCCAAAAGGAATACAACTGGAGACAAGTTAAGCCCTTAGTACAGAGACTAACACATGGTGATAAATAAATGCAAGGTAGTTATAATTTATAGCAGTATATGTTAATTAATTATTAATAATAAATAATAAATATTAATAATATATTCATATAATTATTCACTGAGAGGTGTGTACTTGAAAGAGTAATATCAAATAAATTATAAAATCATTAAAGAAGTTAAATGTACCATTTAAATGTTAAATTAATATCTCAAGTCATTTATTCACTCTACACGAGTAAAATAGGGAAGTTTAGGCTTCCTGGTATATCTAACAAAAAAAGAGTTGAATCCTTGAAGAAATTACGTCTCGGTTATGTAAAAGCTAAATCTATTATAAAATTGTTTTAATGATGGCTTTTCAAAAATAAAACAGAAAACACATCAATTACATGAAGCTAGAGAAAAAGAAGCTGGACTGATATACTTACCCATATCGTTCAAAATATTCTGAGTACGCAGATTTCTGCTGTTCATACACTGGGATCTGATTAGCAAAAAAGACAACCTTCCCATTTTGTCCTTGTGGAAATTTTTTAAGATGATGGTCACATATAAGAAGTGAAACAAAGGTTTTTCCACAACCTTTTAACATATAAGGAAAAAAAGTGTAAAATGTAACTAACTCACATGTAACTAATATTTCTGTAGAAGGTATTTATTTTGGGCTCTTCTAATACCAATGGGCTGACCAGCAAATTGATAATTTAGATGGGTTAACAACTGCAGAATTTACACTCTGACTAAAAAATATCGGGCTATTTCCTACGTAACATGCATCCAAACAGCCAAGACCAAAAGCAAACTAAAAGAGGGTATTTTTCATTGGGTAAAAGTAATCTCTTCACATGACACCCCTTTAAAATTAATTAACTAATTAATTAATTAATTTAAAAAGAGGGCATTTTTCTTTCCCTTCTCATGTCCCTTAAAATATATTGAGGCTATATTAATACGGTAATTTCTCAAAAGACAAAAGGAACAAGGAGACACCAAACTTGCCCATTTTGTCCCAGTATTCGATAAAAGAAAAAAAAGGAAGCAGAGAAACAAATTATACTCACAAAAGTAATAGCAACTGGCTTACCAGTGGGAGCGCATATTATTGTGTTTTTTCCTTCCTTAGCAGGCAAAGCAAGCTCTAGTTGATAACTTCTTGCTTTCAATGGTCTATCCAAGTTATTACGAGACACTTCTGGAATGCAAAAGTAACAAAATACCACAGTCACTGCACTGAGGAATCACTGCAACAGCTACAGTCCCATGGACACAAATTCTGACTCTAGCAGGAAGGGCCTCATTTGAGAAAGTTTGGAAGCTTGTCTCTTTTAACCAGTCCAGCTTCTCCATTGATTTGAAGTACAGAACTCTCTCAATGACAAAGTATCTATGGCAAGTATGGGAAAAAACAAAAACCATACATAAAGATTTCTAGGTTAAACAATCGTGGAAGCCTAATAAAGAGAAACTAAACTGGTTAAAGGCAATGGTACATAAACAAAACAACA